CGGGGGGGGGATGAGGATCTGGGCAATACTGCTGGCAAGGGGGGGGTTAAGGGAGGAAAGGAGTGTGGAATCGGGGAAGGGATTGGGATCTGGAGAAAGATGCACCCAGTGGGGGGAGGAGGGGGACGTTGGGGGAGGGAAAGCATAAGTTAGGGGGTGAACGGGAAGGAGGAAGGATGGGCTGATGAAGCGGGAGTCAAGAGTCGGTCGTCCACGTGGCAATTGTGGCGGACCCACCAGGTGTGGTGCTCCGCCAGGGATAGAGATGGAGATGGAGGAAGAAGGGGAGCGAGATGGCACAGCGCAGCTCCCACGCCAAACTCCAACGCACGTACTCCAAACTGTGCGAATATAGAATGAGAGAGAAAACATACAATAACTGGGGTATACCCTAGCGGACTGACGGGACTGGACTGCACTGGCTAGGAGCCTGGTACCGACAGAGATACCGGCCTGGACTGAACTACCCTGAATACAACACAGGCCTGTTAGAACAGGCCAAGGGGCTGGTCTCACAGGCCAACCAGAGGTTCGCTACACGATCCTCGGCCTGTGATGGATCGCCTAGATACAAGTACGCTTCCGCCAAGAAGCGGAACTCTACCAAAGAAAAAAGAAAACCTGAGTAGTCTAGGATGCGGAGCAAGCTCCATGCTGAGTCCATGCGATGCAACCTAGAATAAAAAATGTCACAAAAACAACAACGTCACAGCTAACAGCCTAAGTGAAAGCAAAAACAACTAACTAGTAGTATACATGTCCTAGGAAAGCAGGAAGTAATTACAGCTAGATCGTAGAATGTTGGAGGCAGTAGCCTCAGTCTGGAAACAGCTGACTAGTATAAGTCCTAAGAACAGCAAGAGGAGAACAACTAAATCCTAGAAATGTCAGAGGCAGTAGCCTCAGACTGAGAGCAACAAGCAACAACAAGTCAACCATATGTCACAGGAGAAGTGTGTCGCAAACCAAAGGGTGGGATGGTCTCTGAGGGTGGCGAATGCAGCCTAGGGGTCGATAACTCCTAAGGGCATCCACACATAGTGACAGGGGGAACACATGTCATCAGGCTCAATGAGGGTACGGAACTGGGAGCGAACAGAACCAATGACCCTAACAGATAGACCATCAGGGCGGGTAATGCTCGACTTAAGGGGTGACCACTATGGAGGGTCGACCATGCAGGGGAACCAGGGAACCTGGTATACTGGGCACACATAGATGAAGCATGCGGGGCTGCCTGACTAGGGCGTGAGGGTTGGCAAAGGGTAGAAAGGTGATGGGTAAGGGAATCATGCAAATGACTCCTAAAGTGAGAGAAGTCGGAGCTAGATTCGTAAGCAAGGAAGCCAGGGCAATGCTACAGTCCCGATGCCTATGTGTATACCAAGGGAGAGCCCAACTCAAAGGAACCCGGTGAAGGAAGACCATCATGCAACACAACCAGGATACTGTACAGGGTAAAGTGGTAAGAGAGTGATGACGTCTGAAGTAGGCAGAGCTGATCGTGACGAAGTCCATGGAGCTGTCGATGACGTCCACGATGAGAAGTCCGGAATGTCGTCGAGGAAGAGCCGCAACGTCGACGAGCTGAAGTAGCAAAACTGGAGTGGATGGAGTACTGAGAAGTCAAAGACGTGGGAAGATAAGTCAGAGTCAATCATCGTATCGAGCACGATGACGACGAGTGCGATGTGGACGCTTAGAAGCATCCGGCTATTGCTGAAGGTCTGCCTCAAAAGGGGCAGGCTCGACTTCAGCGGTCTCCTCAGCCGAGGGAGAAGGAGGAGGGTCTGTGGGCTGAGGGGGAGCAGTCGACCCAGCACGACGAGCACGGTCATAGGCACGCACCAACATGCGAGCGCGTTGCAAGTGCTCGAGGGGCTCCCAGGTAGCCTCCTCATCAGGGTAAACCTTCCAACGTACGAGATACTCGACGTAGGGAGGGTTGTCGTCGGTGACTCGGCGACCAATGATGTCGAAAATGAAGAACTCCTCGTGGCCGTCCACCATGATGGGTGGAGGCCGCTCATATGGTCATCCAACGAAACGCTTAGACGATCTGCGGTAAGGACGCAGTAACGAGACGTGGTAGACATCGTGCACATGAGCCTGGCGTTGGTAGTCGGGAAGCTTCACACGGAAGATGACCGGGTTAGATGCCGTATCAAAACCGATGACCTTGAGGATGCGGTATGGGCCAAAGAAGTGACGCCGAAACTTGCGAAGCGTATCCGCAACTAGCTATAAGTGTCGAGCGTCGATAAGCACATCATCACCGACTTTGAATAGGTGATCCATCCTCGATCGGTTCGCATGTGCGGCCATGCGAGTCTGGGAAGCGGCTATGTGTTCAAGTCCGCGGGAACACAAGGGTGATAGTCGAGGTCGCAATAGTAAGGTGACATCCCCGTGGCTGGCGAGACGGCGTGGTTGTAGGTTATCTCCACGTGGGCAAGATGGAAATCCCACTGCTGGTCGTCACGAACAATCTTTCGGAGAATATCTCCGAGACTCCTGTTCGTGACCTCGGTCTGACCATCAGTCTGRGGATGGTAAGACGAGGAGAAGCAGAGCTGGGTGCCGTAAACCTCGTGGAACCGTCGCCAGAATCGGCTGGTAAAGCGCGGGTCACRGTCAGATATGATGCTCAGAGGTCAGCCGTGGTCACACACGACTCGGTTAAACACGATGTCGGCGACCTCACGTGCAATGATGGCATAGCGGCACGGAACAAAACGTGCATGCTTCGTGAAGTGGTCGACGATGACCAGGATAGCATTATGATCGCGGGGGGTCGGAGGACGAAGAGTACCAATAAAGTCCATCGAGATGGACTGCCAACGACCCTCAGGGATAGGAAGAGACTGGAGCAAACCATAAGGAAGGTGGTTCGCACTGTTCACCTCCTGATAGGTGGGACACTCTGCGACTGAGTCCTTCACAAAGTCCTTGCGCTTCGGCCAGACGTACAGGCGGCTCACACGAGCCAGCGTCTTGTAGAAGCCCATATAACCGGCGGTTGACTGGTCATGGATCTTTGCTACTCCTCGGACACGTAGTTGACCAGTGGAGGGAACGCAAATATGGGGCTCTCTGGTGCCCTGTGAACCGTGCCAGTACACAAGACCGTTGTCCTCAATAGAGTAGTTCAGGACGGTCTTGCCACTCCGAAGGGTCGCGTGGATCTCACGATAGTCGGGGCAGTGGCGGTACTGAATGCGAAACTCGTCGATCACCGAGTGGTGGACGGTGGTGACCGAGATGGAAGAGAGTTGGATCTGCTTCTGGTCGTGGTCACGGCGCCGGGATAAGGCATATGCCGTCCGATTAGTCTCACCCTTTATGTGCTCAGTGGAAAAACTTAACTCGGAAAGGTCGCGCCACCAGCGAGCCTGTCGAGGAGTGAGCTTCGACTTTGTCAGGAAAGCCCGGACAACAGAGTTGTCCGTGCGCACCGTGAACGATGCCCTGTGCAGGTAGTGACGCCAGTGCGGAGCGGGATAAACAACTGCGAGAACCTCACGTTCATCAGCAGTGTAGTTTATCTCGGCGGGCAGGAGCTGACGGGAGTAGAAGGCTATCGGACAATCATCTGAGCGAGACTCGACAGTGCCGTCCTCGGCGATGGTAGGAGAATAGTCAATTGAAGGCTCGTCAGTAGCTGGACGAGTAGGCGTTAGGCAGGAGGCAGTGGTAGGGGTAGGGGGTGGAAAGCGAGGGATACGAGGATGAGAGGAATCAGGAGAGGAGGGGAAAATATGAGAAAGCACTGCTCCTACGGCGAAGTCTGACGCATCGGTGGTAAGGATAAAAGGGCGATCAAAATCGGGTAGGTGAAGAAGCGGTGCACATGTCACCGCCTTCTTAAGGGCGTGGAAGGCGTCCTCGTGGAGGGGTGTCCAAGCCCATGGCGGGTGCTTTCGGAGGAGGGTGGAGGTAAGGACGTAGGAATACCTAGCGTATCCCTTGATGAAATTACTATAGTAGCTGGTAAGGCCTAGGAAGCTGCGAAGCTGCTTGGCGGATGTGGGGACGAGCCACTCCGCAATAGCTGTGATCTTCGCGTCGTCCATGTGGAGACCCTGGCCAGACACGTAGTGTCCTAAGAAATCCACTTTGTGTTGGGCAAAGCGGCACTTGCTCAGCTTGGCGTAGAAACCATGTCTGCGCAAGCGGTCAAGGACGTCGTGGACGTGTCTGAGGTGCTCCTCAAGGGTACGACTGTAGACCAGGATATCGCGGAGGTAGACGAGAACATACTGCTCCAGGATGTCCCTGAAGATATCGTTCATCGCCCTCTAGAAGGTAGCGGGTGCGTTGGTGAGGCTGAATGGCATCACCGTAAACTCGTAGTGGCCAAAGTGAGATCGGAACGCTGTCTTCGGCTGGTCCGCTGCAGCGACGCGGATCTGATGGTAACCGCTACGAAGATCAATCTTCGTAAAGAAGCGGTTGCCTGCTAGGCGGTCGAACAACTCATCGAAATGAGGCATGGGATAACTGTTCTTAACCGTGTAGCCGTTAAGACCGCGACAGTCGATGTAGAGACGGAGAGTTTCATCCGCTTTGCGATCAAAGAGGATAGGTGTACCCCACGGGGAGTTGCTGGGTTTAATGAAACCCAGTCTCAAGAGCTCCTCAAGCTGACGTTTGAGTTCGGTGGCCTCAGAAATGGAGAGTCTGTAGGGTGCCTGGTGGTGAACACGATAGTCAGGCAGAAGCTGGATGGAGTGCTCAACGTCGCACATCGGTGCGATGTCGGCGTACGAGAACGACGATGGGAAAACGTCGTGGTACTCTCGAATGAGGTCACGAACTGCGGGCTCCAGGTCAGCCGTATATCGTGCAAGTTCCTCAGCGTCAGCGTCGGCGCGCGACGACGGGGTGGACTCGACGGACGACGGAGGGTGGGAAGTAGAGATGGGAGCCATGGAGATAGAAGGAGGATTTGGCTCCAGAGGGATGAGCTCGGTGTCGGGACAGGGTGGATCATAGTGTAAGAGATCCGTCACATTCACCATAAAGAAGGTGACGTCGTCCTGTCGGATGAAGTGGGCGACCTGCTGAGGCGAGGTGACAGTGATAGAAGGAGATGATGTGGGCATGGAAGGCTCCGGGGGAGGAGGATCGGGGCGTGGTGCCGCAGTGGTACCTATGAAAGGTACGTGATACGTCTGTCCACACTTCGTTTTGAGAACGAGGGTGTTGGTCGCCCAATCGCCCTCGGTGCTGCGGAACCGTCGAGACCACGAAGTACCGAGAATGAAGTCGTAACCCGTCTCCATCACATCGAAATATGCGGAGGAGCGGTGGCGACGAGACGCCGGGGGACGATCAGTCGACTCGAGAGTGAGGAAGAAAGGGAGGTCGGTGACCGTCTGATCCAAGAAGCGCTGAGTCTTGTGATCCCCTAGGGTGACAGAGATGAGAGTCGGAGACCATGTCGTGGGTAAGCGGGCTTCTTTCACCACACGTGGGTGAATGAAGTCGCCCTGAGAACCGGAATCCCACAGCACTGAGTACACCCTCGTGGAGCCTCGTGGAGGTCCCCAGTCGACGGGGATGATCGGGAGGGTGCGATCAGGGTCAGAGAGGATGGTGAGAAGGCGATGCAGTACAGCGACACGGAGGGTGAGTCGCTCTTGACGAACCTGGAGCATGCTCAAGTCCAGAAGGGAGGACACAACGTCCTCGCGAGTCGCAAGCTGCTCGCTGCAATGGGCTGAGTAAATGACTCGACGCGTCGGTAGTCGCGGCGGGGTAGGAGGGGGGACGGTGGTCTGCGGAGGCGCAGACAGTACGGCGACACATGGCTGAGTATACTCTATCGGGTCCTGCGATACCTCAACTCCTGTAGCGAGAAGGGCAAACCGTGACAGGGATGTCGGGAAACTGACTACTGAGGAGGGCGCAGGTGTACACTGCAGCGTGGCTAGGAGGTGTCGCGGGGATGTGAGGCGTCGGGGGGGGACTCAGCACGATGTTGGCGGGAAAGGTCAGCGTAGTGGCGGTCAAGGGCGGCAGTGTAAGGGCACCGCGAGGAGGTATGACCGTCCTGACGGCAACGCAAGCACCCACGCCGGCCCAAAATAGTCGTGTGCTCCTTCGAGGAAAGGACACCTCGAGGAGGGACAAAGCCCTGAGGGAGGTCCTACTGAGGGACCTCGGGGGGCGACGCGCGAGCGTGACCGGGGCCGGTTGCGTGCCCGAGAGAGGGTGGAGAGGATGAGCTGGAGGCGCTCGGCCATAGGGAGAGTAGAGTCCTCCGGGTGGTAGTGGACTGCCTCGCCGAGGTTGAGGTCGTCGGTATGGTCACCCTCGGGCGACAGTGGGACAACAGCGTCCTGCTCACCATACTCGAGCGCGCTGAAGCGGCGCGAGAAGTGGCGGCCCTGCTGCGCGGAACGGCGCTGGGAAGTGTTGTGAGAGGAGGAGGGGGTGTAACCAGTATGCTGAGGCTGGGAGGAGGAAGTGGGTTAAAGACGGCCCCACATCCGCTGATGGTCCCTCGCGGCCTCGTAAGCCCGCAGGGCCGATGTGAACTTGTACCGCCATAACTCGGAGCGGTACTTGAGCGGAAGGCTGGCCAATAAACGATCGATAAGGGCAGCCTCGAGGAGAAACGCCACGTCGCAAATGAGGCGGGCGTCCTGAAAGACCTGGATGTGCCGATCCAGGCCGGCAGCGCCACCAAAGTCGGACCAGCGTGTAGTGACGACACGCTCGAAGGCGTCAGTCACGTCATGTCGGGCTCCAAAGCGATCCTCGAGAAACGCCTGGAAATCCATGAAGGTTGGAGTCCGACCCGCATGAAGGGAGTAAGCGTAGAAATCCTACCAGGCGTCAAAAGGACCGCCACGCAGGTGCGTGAAGAGGTGACCCACCCACGTGTCGGGTGGGGCGCCCATGAGCTGGAGGGTGCGGGTGGCAGCCTGTAGCCACTGAGACACGCGTATGCCTGTACCGTCATACATGTCCGTCAAGCGGACGAGTGGTGCGCCACCGTTTTGGCGGCGAGGGGATCGGGGAGCAGAGGCCTGTGCCACGGCTAAGTAAGTCGGCGCAGGTCCTGGAGAGAGGGGCGCAGCTGACTGTGCGTCCGGTCCGCATAGGGGAGCAGCGGGGGCAACAGCGACAGGCTGTAAAGGAGCTGCGGTAGAAGAGGTCGCAGCAACCGCGGGAATAGGAAGAAGGTAGGATGAGGCTGGATAGGGTGCAGGGCGACGGAAGCAAGCCTGCATGGAAGGAAAGGTAGAGGAAGGAAGGGATGCCCCCGAAGGTGTGGCCACCTGTGAGGGTGGGGGTGGCTGAAGGCGTAAGAGGGCGAGATCGGCCCAGGTCTGGGCAAGCTCGTCCTCGAGACGTTGGACGTAGATCGACCGAGGAGTGGCAGGAGGAAGAGTGAGGGCAGTGGACGCATGAGTGGCGCGGGGCATCCCGTAGGGGGGTGAGCAAGGTGGCGCTGCAGTCGTGCGAAGGGGAGGGAAAAGCGGGGCACCCGGAAAAGCTGAGACCTTGGTAGCGGGTTGTGGTCCCGTGGCCGTAGTGACCGGAATCTGGGCGGGTGCGCCCGTACACTGAGGGAGGGCCTGACCAGTGGTGGCGGTCGTGCTAGGAGCGTGGACGGTCACCATGATGGTTAGGTCGGGACCGGCAGAGGAAGCTCCGCCGTGGCCGCCATGTCGGAGGACGGGGGACCCGGACTGGGAGCCAGGAGAAGAGAGAGAATGAGGAGAGGAAGGACGGTCAGCGTCCTGGAGTTGCCGCAGGCCAGCGGCAAGAGTCGCCATTTGCGCCTGTAAGGGCGCAAGGAGGGAGGTGATGAGGGTGTGCAGATCCCCCTGGGGCTGGTGGCCCTGGTCCGTCGACACGGGTGTGGAGCCCGATGCCGAGGTCGTCGCCGCCCCGGCGGCTTGTGACATGTCGTCGGCCATGGGGAGGTAACGGGCCGAGCTAGGGAGGGTCGGAGGAGGTCCACGTAAGCGGAGGGCGTAGGGGGAGGTCTGCGATAGAAAGCGACGGGCGGCGCTAGTAAATCGAGTGTGGGCGCCGTCAAAGGGGGAGAGGTGGTTCGGGTCCAGCGTGGCCAAATAAGAAGGGAAAGTAAGGGGGGGGCTTAGAAAAACCCTAAGAAAACCCTAACCGAAGTTTGAGTGGTTAGGGTAGGGTACCAGTGACCTAGTAAAGAAAATAAAATAGCAAGCATAAGGGGGGAAGGCGGGAGAAAAATAAATAAACACTGAGATTTCGAGGGAAAAATAAAAATAAATAAGAAAATAAATAAATAATAAAAATAATTAAGGAAATAAGGAAACAAATATGAAGAGAGAAATAATATTTTTTTTTTTAGAAATTTCGGCAGCATTTCCCTACCCTCCATAGGGTCAAGAATGTGCCAAGGGGAAAGGAGAGACCAAGATAAGCACACTAGGTTTCAAACTGCCGCAAATTAAAAATTTCAAAAAAAATTCAAAAAAATAATAAATAAATGAATAAATAAATAAATAAGTAAATAAGTGGATGAGGAGGTGGAGAGAAATGGAGTATCTGATTTTTCAAAAAATTTGGCAGCATTTTGTTACCCCCATGGGGTCGAAGTGTGCCGAAAAAGACTAAGTAAGAAAAAAACAAAAAATTTCAGCAACACTTCGTTACCCCCACGGGGTTAAAATGTGTGCCGAAACCAAGAAAGACGAACTCCTAGTCAGATTTAAGGGTGCCGCAAAGATATTCGAATTTTCAAAAGAAATAAAAAAAAATAATAATAAATCAGAAAATGAGAAGGGAGGGGGGGAAATAAGATAATTCGAATTTTTGGAGAAAAAAGAAGATTGAAATCAAAGAGCAAGGGAAAAGAAGAAAAAACAGAAAAATTCGAAGTAGGGGGGAACAAGAGGATGGAAGAGTGATGAAGAAGAGAGAAATAGGTGAGAGAGAGAGGAGTGAAGTGGGAGATATGGGAGATGAGATTAGTAGAAGATGGTGAGTGGGGAGGGGAGGAGAGAAAAAGGTGGTGGGAAATGAGTGAAGAGGGAGGTGGGAGGAGGGGGGGTAGTGGTAGAGTTAGAAAGGATGATTAGATGATGGGGGGGGAGAGAAAAGGGGTTGGGGGAGGGTAGGTTAGTGGAGAGAGATAATGCCAGACTCTTGGTTGGCCAAGAGCAAAACACTACCAAGATCCACAAGATTTTGGCCTTCAAGGTGCTGCTGGCCTGATGCCACAGCAATAAGAGATGATGATGATGATGATCTAGGGTTGGCTGAGATCTTGATCAGCAGGGGGGAATCTTGAGCTGCTGCAGCAGTAGAAAAATAGTAAAAAATAATGTGGCGCAGCCCCCTAGCCAGGGGGGTCTTCAGTCTCCACAGCAGGTTGCCACGTGGCACTGCAGATGGCCACATGTGCAGGCAGCAGCAGCCGGCGGGGGAAGAGGGGGGGGGCAAATAGCAGCCCGGCCGTTGCTGCCCTGCTGCTCGCTGCTCGCCGGGGGGGGGTGGTAAATAGCTGGCACTCACCTCTTCAACAGCAGCGCGCCACACTACAGAACCATACATGCAGTATGGCGAGTGTGTTATGGAATAGTTTATGCACCCGCAAGTCTAGCAGGTGCCTGGGTTCAAACCCCAGCGGCAGCAAGATCCCGGATCTTGATAATATAAATCTGGGAGCGGGGCGGGGCGGGGCAGCGTGGGCGCGTGGCACGCGCAAGCGTGCGGCGGCCTTAGCCTTGGCACTTGCTCGCACGCGCTCGTGATGGCACGTGCTTTTCCCGCCACGTGTTACTTCCTGATGTGGCTTCTTTTTTCCCTTGTTTTCGTCGGAAAAAACGGCCTGAAAACAGCCAAAAACCCACGCTGTCGAGTTTTGCTGTTTTCCCGGCTGTACGGGGTGGTGGGTGGGAGCAGGGAACATTCCCGCTATGATACCAGTGTGGCGGACCCACCAGGTGTGGTGCTCCGCCAGGGATAGAGATGGAGATACCGGAAGAAGGGGAGCGATGTCGGCGCGAATACCCTTACGAGGGTATCCGCCCTGGTTTTTGCAAGTGACAGAAAAAATGGGTTTGGTTGAAATAACCCGTGCGAGGCACGACCTCGTTCGGGACCCGCCCTGGTTAAGCTAAGAGGGTATGTGGGTGCGCAGTGTTAAGGCGCGCGTGTGATTTTTTCTGGTTGAGCGAGCGGCCGGTCTAGCCGACCGACCCGAACCGAGTTGCGGGCTTGATTAAGGGATAAAAGTCCGCTTCTTGGGTGGCACGCGCGACCGACGGTAGGACTGGGGCACGGGGTGGCGCGCGGGATGGCCACGGCGCGGTCTAAGTACGCCGGCGCGGGTGCCTGGCGTCGGCACGCCGGCCGCGAGTAAGAAAGGAAGGCCTAGGATGTTGTTCCCAGGCCTAGGCACGACGCGGCACCACTTCATATTGAAGTTCGCGCTCCATGGTACCAGGCTTGGGCTTAGCCCTATTGGTTACGGTATTGGACTATTGCTACGGAGGTGTGGGGGTCGAGGCCAGCGTACGGCAACGAGGGAGCGGCGGAGCATTGGAAAAAAAACGAGGGGTCGAGGGCCCGACGGGGCTATTCCCCTCAGTTTTGGTGACTCGCGCGACGATGGGCTCAATATGCGGGGCTGGCGAGATACCATGGTTCCCGTTTCTCGTTTGGAACCCTTGAAATAAACGTGGTTTTGTAGCCTCCTTTTTTTCTTCTCCTTTTTGTTGTTACCTTTTGCGTTGTCATTTTGGCCCCGCCCTTTTCGGGATATGGCCGAGAGCCTGCTGAAGTGGGTATGCCCACGAACTGTCAAGACACAGGCTGAGGCGGGGTTTTGTAGCCTCCTTYTTTTCT